ACCTTGTGGGGAACACTGAGATCGTGAGGGAGAAACTGGGAATCACGACTTAAGCCGCTTATAAATCTCAAGTTTTTTAATAAGTTTTTCCGTTCCCGAGCTTGTTTCACTAATCGTCCCTGGTATTGCAACACTTTTTAATTCACAAACACCTGTTGCTGTGTTTTCGGCAAGTTGCCTCTCAATGTTACCCTGATTCAAGAATTTAATGATAAAATTTAAACTTGATTGTGGCAATAGCTATTCCTGAAAATAATACAATGCCTTAATTCAGAACTTGAAATTATAGGAGAATAGGGAGAATGACCTATCACTTCAGTTGCAATTGCACAACAACATAGAAAAAGTTAATGGTAATTTGCCTCCGTAAATAGCCTCATTGAATCCTCTTGACTCTGACTGAGCAAGGAATCCATGTTAACAAAGGAGACCGTGAAAACGTTATTCAAGTCAGAGATCCCATGAATGGGGAGGCAGCGTCTTAAGATAGTTGAGAACCTTGGGACATTCCAAAGTGATGACGTTAGCTGGTGGTGGTTGTCGTGACTGCCAGGCTCACTGAAGTTGGATCAGGTGTTCTTATCGTCAGGATGCTAAATCCGAAGCCGTTAAATTCACTTTAATCCTTAGAATGCATGAGCGTGAGTTTTGAAAGGTCGTCTGAGTGTGTATGTGTGTGTGTGTGTGTACATATACCTAGCTTACAGGGGTTCAGTCTCCGCTCTTGACTCTACCGTTGCTGATTCCTAACCTGTTTAACTTGAAACTTTGTATCGGGCCAGCATCCACTACTTCCTCAGTTTTTTATTCCTGATGTTCAAGTTTAGCTCAATTGCTCCTAAATGACCTTTGTCCCGAGACTGTTCCTGTAACCTCTTTCAACTTCACAAATTATTCTGCAAGCGTTGATCATGTTTTCTCTAGTTTGTCTTTTGCTTTCTAATATCAAATTTAACTCTTTTAGTCTATTTTTAGATGTTTTCCCTCTAACATCACAATTAGTCTAGATTTGAACATCTGCACTTTCCCTGTTTCGTGAATATGCTTGATCATTTTCACTCATGTGAACGCACATAAGTGCACATGCGAGTGCATGTGTGTGCACGAGTCTGTATGGTGTGCATATAACATTGTCTTCTTATAACTACTATGTTTTATTGCAATGCTCCGTTGATACACAACAGTTAATACAACAAGTAACAAGCTTATCACAATATTTACACAGTGAAGGAATTAGTGACGAGAAATCTGCAAGAAAGACTTAATTTCAGAGAGCTTACAAAAAGTGACTTCAGTAAGATAGAAATGGAGCATTGAAAAATGGAAAAGACTGCTAGGTAGTAAGAGGAAGATTTTTAATAAAATCATAAAATATTACCGAAGAATTAAACAAGCGTCAAGGGGCAATTGGAATCGTGGAGACTCTAAGATCTCAGGGCATTAAATAAAATGCATACAAGGAGAGAGCTATAGTAAACATATATGAACATATACTAAAGCATTAGTCATCCTGGGAGATCAAACATTACAGAGGCAAGGTAGGAAATTCAGGGATTGGGGGATTAAAAGCACCTTCCATCCCCATCACACCCCTCCCTCATACCTCCAGCCCCTTATATTGTTACTTCTTCATCATCCCCTCATACCTCTCTATCAGTACTTGTGAGATATCAACTTCCTGCTGTCATTTGTGTGTACGTTTATTACTCGTCATTCGGTCCTAGAAGATGAGAGGCAGTCATGTTTATTAAAAGAAAGATTAACCTAATTCCATTTACCTGGATCAAGAGTTCTTGACCTTTGACAGCTGTTAAAATCAACTCCCGTCCTTTTAAGGTCCCAGAACTCCAGCTTACTCATGCAAACTCATCGTAGAAAGGTGCACCTCCGACAGTAATGACGACAAGACACAGGAACAGAGCAAGTTTTTATTGTGACACAGTTTCCTTATACATAGAGCGAAACATTATGAAAACGAAATCCAGGTTCTGCACCTTCGTCTTCGTGAACACTGAACTGGTTAACTACGCATGCAAAAGCAACACCGCAGCTCCCGGGGCAAATATTTAACTTATGTGAAAGTATGAGTCTAACAATTTAATTAATACCTGAGAGTTGGTGTTGAGTGTTGTGTGCGCGTCCGCCGCCGCCGCCGCTACTGCCGCCGCCGCCGCCGCTACTGCCTCCACCGCCGTCGCGGCCGCTACTGCAGCTGCCGCCGCCGCTGGTACTGATGCTTCTGTTGCACCGGCCTCTCTTGACACCTTTTCATCCTCTTAGATGTGTTCTCCCTAGTCCTTTGCTTCTACGACGACAACGACCACCCCCACCTCAACTACTCCACCACCACCACAAACTACCACCACCACCACAACTACCACCACCACAACTACCACCACTACAACTACCCCCACCACCACACCTCCTCCTCCTCCACAATTACCACTGCCACTTCCATCACCACCATCATCGCCAACCACCACCACCACCCCGAAAGCAATCTACCACCACCATTACCCCAGTCACCTCCACCACCATCATCCCCACCCCTCCTACTGCCACCACAACCACCATAATCTCCACCCCCATAACCACCACAACCCCCACCATTACCAAACCACAACCACCATGATTTTCATTCCCATAACCACCACCACCATTACCGCCACCACAACCAGCTTCCTTTCACACATCAGCTACCACCATCACCACCACCAGCTTTCACCACTACCACTATCATCCCACCCTTACCACCACCATCACCACCCCAACCCTCCTACCACATCAACCACCACTACAACCAACACCACTACCCCACCACCACCACAACCTCAAAAACTACCAGCTACCACAACCACCACCACGACCACTACTACCACAACTGACCATCACTGACAGTCATGTGCAGCTCTCACTCTGTTCTTCCTCCACAGGGACGCCCACGTCTCTTTTCATTCATTAATCCAGTCTCTCTCTCTTTCTCTCAGTGCCATCTTCCCTCACCCCTACTCTCACATGCTCCTCCTCTTGTCTCTCACCCTGCCTAGCATGCTCTCTTTCTCTCTCTCCCTCCCTCCTACCTCTACCTTTTTCCTCCCGTTCTCTCTCAGCTGTTCCTCCTCCAATCTCTTCCACTCCTACTCCTCCCTCCCCTTCTTCTCCCTCTATAACCTTCTCTCAATCCCTCCCTCTCTCTCTCTATCCTTCCTCCCTTCTCTCCCTCTCGCCACCTCCCGCTCTCCCTCTCTCCCTCGTCCTGCCGTGTATCTCTCTCTGGTGCCGCCCACCGCCCACCTCTGTCCTGCGCCGCCCAGCATACGCGTCCCTGCGCTAACTCCCTCACTCTCTCTTCCTCCCTCACTCTCTTCCTCCCTCCCTTCCTCTCCCTCATTCCTCCCTTCCTCACTTCTCCCTCGCCGCCTCGGCCGCCCTCTAGCTTCAAGCAGAGCTTCTGTTCTCTACGTATGCCGCGCCTATGACCGACTTCTGCTGTTTCCTCACCGCCTGAGGCAACAGGCTGTCGGTGCTCGCTACCAGCATACCCACGCACGTACCACGATAATCAGGAGCTGATTGGAAGAACGTATCAATTTCTCTCTTTGATGAAGAGAGGAAACTGATAGTGTATATGAAGGGAGTATGACAGTTACTGTTATATTCACAGTGAAGCACTAAATCCCCAGGGGTCAAGAGGTCCCTAGGGAATAAGGGATAATCAGGAATAATCTGAAAAGGGGACCAAAGGGCCCTTTACCAGCATTAAAGCACTCTTCCCCATTGAAGGGAAGGATCGTATTTGTAAATAGGTCCTGAAGCCTCTAGACTACACGAAGGTAACGCAACGTAATGTTGAAAATGTTATAAAATGTTATAAAATGTTATAAAATGTTATAAAATGTTATAAAATGCCGACAAGTTGATAAGTTAGACACATGTGCAACAGTTAGGTATCAATGTTGTTGCTCCTGTTGCCTCTGTATTTGACTGAAGAATAAAAGTGCCCAGCTGTTGCACTACATGTTATATTTTCACAACAAGGCACGAATACTTTAATCCCTAAAATAGGGATACAACTAAAATCTCTGCATATATACGCTGAAAGAAATACGCCTCTCGGTGTATTTGTCCTGTATGAGAGCATGGAGAGGCTGTCAAGTTATATATATATTTTTATAAACACATTCCGAGTTATGTATATAACTAAGATTAAGAGTTAAGTTGTTGCATATATATATACGAACTGAGGTATATCTTCTTAAATTTAATTCCCTCCGCTTCTTCACTGTGTATATTTTTCCTCTGTATATCTCCTTTTCTCGTAAGGGTTATTTCAGTGCGCAGATTTGGAACATGTCCCTCCTTTTTTGCTTAGGTGGAAGTTACATTGTATCTTTCTCGTCTGCACCTCGGGGAGAACAGTGGAAAAATTTTTAAAATTTGCCGATAGATTTACCATATGAATGTACTGATATGAACAGTGTGAAAATTCTCTCTAACATTCTGGAACTCTTCAGTTTGTCCCGTCTATCATGAGCATCTGTAAGCTCTTCGTTACTGTTCAGAAAATGTTGGTAGTATGATTACTACCCACAGGATGAATAAGGGGTAACTACCACACACAGGCTGGGCACAAAGTGACTGTCACCTACATGATGGGTATGGAGTGAACAGCAAGACTTTCAGATTAATACGTCTATAACCCAGCTATCACTTATTACTCTTCCTTTAGAATCATCAGTCCCTTTACACTCCCAGTGATTCCCCTTTACTCTCTCAATCATTGTCTTTCAGTCACCCAGTTATGACTGTTTAGTTACACATTTATCGTCCTTTACTCTTCTAGGTACAATCCTATACTTTGCCAGTAATCACATTTTAATGTGCATTATATGACCCTTTAATTTCCCAGTTAACATCCAATACTCCCACAGTTATTACCTTATACTCTGCTAGTTATCTCCTCTTTACTCAGGCAGTCACCACCTGGTTTTCTCCCACAGTCGCACCATGGGATGTGAGTGGATCTGTCAGCCCACAGAATGTGGAGGCCGGTCAGGTGGTGAAGATCACCTGTAAAACCTCCAGTAGTGTACCAGCCTCCATCGTCACCTGGCACACCCGAGCACACCTGCTAGGTGACCCCTCCGTCAAGCACTCACCTGGGCTCTACGGTGGCACCATCACCGAGTGAGTACTCTCATTATATTTATGGGGAAGTGGCAGCGCTAAATTCGTGAAGTGTCGTGCAGTAGCGGGGAAAAATGGGAGATAAATTACATTATATCCAGGGAAAGGAGATTTAAGTCCAGCTCCTTCATCCCCTGAAGGAGAGCAGTAACTGTGAAAAACTCGTATTAATTTTAGACAGAGCTTGTCATCTGGGTTTATATATCAACGTCCATGTTGCCCTACAAGCTGAGTGTCAATTCACTGTCTCAGTTAATCCGCAAAAAATCACTCTGAGCATCACGAAATTCATATATTTATTAGAGCTCAGTAAAATACAATTAACCGAATTTACGCCGATATATGATAGGCTGGGTTGGATTAAGCTACATGACGCAAATTTTAGGAAGGCTATGTTTTAAGGTTGTTAGGTTACTTAAGGGACAGAGACAAAATTCATTTTAGAATCTGATCAGTTGAGTTCTACTTAACTGTTTAGTAAAATGTGCATCGCGAGAGGCATTCATTCTTACTATTTTATAACAAGTAAAAATATGTATACAGAAGAAAAGTTACAAGGAATGCATTGTTTTGTATTAAAAGTACTTATCAAGCTCTTTCTTGACAAGTAAATATATAGATATATAATTGCTCTACGCGGAAAGGTTACACAGAATATCAGTGAATCCTGACGAACCTCCACGGATCTAGTTTGAACCTGAAGCACAAAATTCGAGTTTGAGGCATTAGTTCGAGGTTGCTGAGATGTTTCGTATCTTGAGGTTTGGTGATCTAAACTGAAGGTTCTCGCATCTCGAGAGCATAGTGTACGAACCTAAGGCACCTCGAAGCTGAGACAGAGCAAGATTAAAACATCAACCGTGGAGAGAGATCTATGTGGGGCAGTTTCAAAACTCTCTGGGCGGCTCTCGAGAGGAGTGTTGGTAGGTAAGACACATATGCAACAGTTAGGCAACTTTATTTCGAAACGTTCCGCCTACACAGTAGGCTTCTTCAGTCGAATACAGAAAGAAGGCAGGAACTATCTGAAGATCAAGCGACAGTGCAGAGACTTAAATACTGTCGGAAGGAGAGGTGCAGAGTAGTAGTAGTAGTGAGAATGTAGCCACTGAGAGGTCATGTCCCTCTCAGATCCAACAATTCTCACTTGAAAACGCTGTCCAAGGTGTTTTCTGTACCAAGATGCCATGTGTTGCAGTGTTTGACAAGATGAACATCAAAAATGGTATACAGTACCGACAGGTTGGTAGGTAAGACACATATGCAACAGTTAGGCAACTTTATTTCGAAACGTTTCGCCTACACAGTAGGCTTCTTCAGTCGAATACAGAAAGAAGGCAGGGACAGTAGAGAAGTGAAGACGATGTAATCAGTCCATCACCCTTGAAGTCGTAGAATTTGAGGTTGTCAGTCCCTCAGCCTGGAGAAGTTCAGTTCCATAGTCAGGAACTATCTGAAGATCAAGCGACAGTGCGGAGACTTAAATACTGTCTGAAGGAGAGGTGCAGAGTAGTAGTAGTAGTGAGAATGTAGCCACTGAGAGGTCATGTTCCTCTCAGATCCAAGAATTCTCACTTGAAAAGGCTGTCCAAGGTGTTTTCTGTACCAAGATGCCATGTGTTGCAGTGTCTGACAAGATGAACATCAAAATGGTATACAATACCGACAGGTTGGTAGGTAAGACACATATGCAACAGTTAGGCAACTTTATTTCGAAACGTTTCGCCTACACAGTAGGCTTCTTCAGTCGAATACAGAAAGAAGGCAGGGACAGTAGAGAAGTGAAGACGATGTAATCAGTCCATCACCCTTGAAGTCTTAGAATTTGAGGTTGTCAGTCCCTCAGTATAAAAGTCCCGACAGTATTTAAGTCTCCGCACTGTCGCTTGATCTTCAGATAGTTTCTGACTATGGAATTGAACTTCTCCAGGCTGAGGGACTGACAACCTCAAATTCTACGACTTCAAGGGTGATGGACTGATTACATCGTCTTCACATCTCTACTGTTCCTGCCTTCTTTCTGTATTCGACTGAAGAAGCCTACTGTGTAGGCGAAACGTTTCGAAATAAAGTTGCCTAACTGTTGCATATGTGTCTTACCTACCAACCTGTCGGTATTGTATACCATTTTGATATACGAGAGGAGTGTTATTGAGTTCTGAAATATCTTGCTAGAAAGTCCATTATGGACCTCACGCTGCACTACCGGAATACATAACCTGTTCAACTGAATCTGAGAATGTCTTCCATAAGATGTGAGAAATTCAATAATTATTATAATAATAATAATAATAATAATAATAATAATAATAATAATAATAATAATAATAATAATTAATAATAATAATTAACAACAATAATAATATAAATAATAATAATAATAATAATAATAATAATAATAATAATAATAATACGAACTCCTTTCGTGACCAAAATGCTATGTGCTGCTTCTAGCTTAGCAGTTACCTGGCTTCTGTTTATTTGCCGTCGCCTCTCCCAGTGTCTGGTTTCATGCCTTCTTTTGTGTTTGTTCTCAGGTCTAAGGTGAAAGTGAGACCAGAGGCTGAAGACAATGGTCTCGTCGTCGTCTGCGAGGCTGAGAACGGACTTGGGGTCACCGTCAGCACCAATATCACTTTGAACGTTCTGCGTGAGTCCCTCTGGCTTCCTGTGTGTGTGTGTGTGTGTGTGTGTGGTGTTGGAAAGAAATATTTTTTTTTCTTCGATTATTTTTTTTTTTTTTTTATTTTACCTGTTGACTTCAATCATTTCTGAGTTGATTTCCATCTCTCTCTCTCTCTCTCTCTTTCTCTCTCTCTCTCCTCCTCTCTCTTCTCTCTCTCTCTCTCTCTCTCTCTCTCTCTCCTCTCTCTCTCTCTCTCTCTGCGAGTCTCTCAGTATAATATATATATATCTATATTAGTTTTATGACAATCATTGTTCTCCCATGTTAGGAAAAATTGTACGTATTTTCATTTCAATTGTTTGAGTTGTTTTGGTAATTCTTTTAACCATTTTAGTGGATTTTAACAACTGCTTTTCCCAGACCTTTTCGACAGTTTTTATTGGCTCTCTTAAATGTGGTCTGTCTGCCTGTCTCTCTGTCTGTCTGACTGTCTGTCTGTCTCTCTCTTGTTTCATTTTATATTTAGGAGTTCTACAGTATTGCAGCCGAGAATTCCCACATGTTTTTTTACCAGATAAAACTGTTATCTTACCTCGATTCACTCAATCTCTCTCTCTCTCTCTCTCTCTCTCTCTCTCTCTCTCTCTCTCTCTCTCTCTCTCTCTCTCTCTCTCTCTCTCTCTCTTTTACACACACACACACATTGCTTGGTTTGCATCACAGATACATAGACCTAGTTTTCAACACCCAAAGACCCCGCTAACAACGGGTCATCATCATTAAGATATGTCAGCACCACATTGGTAGTCCAGACTTGTTGAGACAGACCTGATCATCCGGACCACACTCGAGGGACCAGACTTAGACAACCAGATCTGGTTTGCAAGAGCACACTGATGGGCCTGCAGTATCACTATTATACGCAGACCTGGACGACAAGGACACTGGTTTGCTGCCATTCCTCCTGCGAGGAATACCTGAAAGAAGCCCACTCATCTCTGTTAAGACTTCCAGTCATCTCTGTTAAGACTTCCACTCATCTCTGTTAAGACTTCCACTCATCTCTGTTAAGACTTCTACTCATCTCTGTTAAGACTTCCACTCACCTCTGTTAAGACTTCCACTCATCTCTGTTAAGACTTCCACTCATCTCTGTTAAGACTTCCACTCATCTCTGTTAGGACATCAACTAATCTACGTTGTTGTTTGCTGCCTTCTGCTGGTTTTAACTCTTTTTTTTTTTCTTCGTCTTGGCGTTCATCTCTCTCTCTCTCTCTCTCTCTCTCTCTCTCTCTCTCTCTCTCTCTCTCTCTCTCTCTCTCATCTCTCCTCTCTCTCTCTCTCTCTCTCTCTCTCTCACTGATGTCATATTTCCGCTATCTCACGGTGGGTGCTATTTCGTTCTCTTCGTAAATACTCGATTTAACTCTTCAAGTAGAATGTTAAAGCGTCAGCACTGTGTATCCCATAAAATCTATATAAATATATTTAAATTAAAGTTGTTTCATAATTTTTGAGTCAGGACATCTTACTGATATAAAATGTTATTGAAGAAGACAAGACGAAAGTGACAGGAGATAATGGACCCTTTTGTTTTGTTCTCATGGTTCTGTATCTGAGCAGATTGTTTCGGAAATTTACCCGTGATGTGCGAATGTGTGTATTGATGTTTTTTCTGTCGTATAGATTTATTATTTTGGTGGCTGAAAGTGAGGTGTTTGGTGGTTGAAAGTGAGGTGTTTGGTGGTTGAAAGTGAGGTGTTTGGTGGTTGAAAGTGAGGTGTTTGGTGGTTGAAAGTGAGGTGTTTGGTGGTTGAAAGTGAGGTGTATGGTGGTTGAAAGTGAGGTGTTTGGTGGTTGAAAGTGAGGTGTTTGGTGGTTGAAAGTGAGGTGTTTGGTGGTTGAAAGTGAGGTGTTTGGTGGTTGAAAGTGAGGTGTTTGGTGGTTGAAAGTGAGGTGTTTGGTGGTTGAAAGTGAGGTGTTTGGTGGTTGAAAGTGAGGTGTTTGGTGGTTTGAAAGTGAGGTGTTTGGTGGTTGAAAGTGAGGTGTTTGGTGGTTGAAAGTGAGGTGTTTGGTGGTTGAAAGTGAGGTGTTTGGTGGTTGAAAGTGAGGTGTTTGGTGGTTGAAAGTGAGGTGTTTGGTGGTTGAAAGTGAGGTGTTTGGTGGTTGAAAGTGAGGTGTTTGGTGGTTGAAAGTGAGGTGTTTGGTGGTTGAAAGTGAGGTGTTTGGTGGTTGAAAGTGAGGTGGTTGGTGGTTGAAAGTGAGGTGGTTGGTGGTTGAAAGTGAGGTGTTTGGTGGTTGAAAGTGAGGTGTTTGGTGGTTGAAAGTGAGGTGTTTGGTGGTTAAAAGTGAGGTGTTTGGTGGTTGAAAGTGAGGTGTTTGGTGGTTGAAAGTGAGGTGTTTGGTGGTTGAAAGTGAGGTGTTTGGTGGTTGAAAGTGAGGTGTTTGGTTGTTGAAAGTGAGGTGTTTGGTGGTTGAAAGTGAGGTGTTTGGTGGTTGAAAGTGAGGTGTTTGGTGGTTGAAAGCACACACACACACACACACACATACACACACACATACACACACTACACACACACACACACACACACACACACACACACACACACACACATACGCTCGATAGTTAACATGTTATGTGACTCCTTTTATCTTACTATTTTTTAACACACTGGATTTTTCCTAGTTTTCTCACAGTTTGCAGTATAAACCTTCTAGTAATTTTTCAAATTAATATCATATAGATTCACTCACGGTTTAACACCTGCCTCTTCCACACACACACTTTCACCTACAACCCTTTCCTTCCTTAAGAGATTATGAGGTTAAAGTTGCAAGAGAATCGAAGACTAACCCAAAAGGATTCTTTCAGGTATACAGAAGTAAGATCAGGGACAAGATAGGCCCACTCAAAAGTTCCTCGGGTCAGCTCACTGACAGTGATAAGGAAATGTGTAGAATTTTTAACACATACTTCCTCTCAGTTTTTACACAGGAGGATACCAGCGATATTCCAGTAATGATAAATTATGTAGAACAGGACGATAATAAACTGTGTACTATTAGGGTCACAAGTGACATGGTCCTTAGGCAAATAGATAAATTAAAACCTAACAAATCCCCCGGCCCTGATGAACTGTATGCAAGGGTTCTAAAGGAATGTAAAGAGGAGCTTAGCACACCTTTGGCTAATCTTTTCAACATATCACTACAAACTGGCATGGTGCCAGATAAGTGGAAAATGGCAAATGTGATACCTATTTTCAAAACAGGTGACAGGTCCTTAGCTTCGAACTATAGACCAATAAGCCTAACCTCCATAGTGGGAAAATTTATGGAATCAATAATTGCCGAGGCAGTTCGTAGCCACCTTGAAAAGCATAAATTAATCAACGAATCTCAGCATGGTTTTACAAAGGGGCGTTCCTGCCTTACGAATTTATTAACTTTTTTCACTAAGGTATTTGAGGAGGTAGATCATGGTAATGAATATGATATTGTGTATATGGACTTCAGTAAGGCTTTTGACAGGGTCCCACATCAGAGACTATTGAGGAAAATTAAAGCACATGGAATAGGAGGAGAAATTTTTTCCTGGATAGAGGCATGGTTGACAAATAGGCAGCAGAGAGTTTGCATAAATGGGAGAAATCAGAGTGGGGAAGTGTCACGAGCGGTGTTCCACAGGGGTCAGTGTTGGGCCCCCTGCTGTTCACAATCTACATAAACGACATAGATGAGGGCATAAAGAGCGACATCGGCAAGTTTGCCGATGACACCAAAATAGGCCGTCGAATTCATTCTGACGAGGACATTCGAGCACTCCAGGAAGATTTGAATAGACTGATGCAGTGGTCGGAGAAGTGGCAGATGCAGTTTAATATAGACAAATGCAAAGTTCTAAATGTTGGACAGGACAATAATCATGCCACATATAAACTAAATAATGTAGATCTTAATATTACGGATTGCGAAAAAGATTTAGGAGTTCTGGTTAGCAGTAATCTGAAACCAAGACAACAGTGCATAAGTGTTCGCAATAAAGCTAATAGAATCCTTGGCTTCATATCAAGAAGCATAAATAATAGGAGTCCTCAGGTTGTTCTTCAACTCTATACATCCTTGGTTAGGCCTCATTTAGATTATGCTGCACAGTTTTGGTCACCTTATTACAGAATGGATATAAATTCTCTGGAAAATGTACAAAGGAGGATGACAAAGTTGATCCCATGTATCAGAAACCTTCCCTATGAGGATAGACTAAGGGCCCTGAATCTGCACTCTCTAGAAAGACGTAGAATTAGGGGGGATATGATTGAGGTGTATAAATGGAAGACAGGAATAAATAAAGGGGATGTAAATAGTGTGCTGAAAATATCTAGCCTAGACAGGACTCGCAGCAATGGTTTTAAGTTGGAAAAATTCAGATTCAGGAAGGATATAGGAAAGTACTGGTTTGGTAATAGAGTTGTGGATGAGTGGAACAAACTCCCAAGTACCGTTATAGAGGCCAGAACGTTGTGTAGCTTTAAAAATAGGTTGGATAAATACATGAGTGGATGTGGGTGGGTGTGAGTTAGACCTGATAGCTTGTGCTACCAGGTCGGTTGCCGTGTTCCTCCCTTAAGTCAATGTGACCTGACCTGACTAGGTTGGGTGCATTGGCTTAAGCCGGTAGGAGACTTGGACCTGCCTCGCATGGGCCAGTAGGCCTTCTGCAGTGTTCCTTCGTTCTTATGTTCTTATGTTCTTATATTGCAGATGGCCCTGTGTGGTTGTTTACGCCATCTGGAATGTTAAATGTGTTGGAAGGTGGTGACCTGACCATCACAGCTGAAGCTATGGCCAACCCCGGTCCCGTCACGTAAGTCTTCAATCCCCGGTTTCGGTATTATTTTTATAAACAAGAGCGTCGGAATGGGAGGCTACCTGGGTTTAGGATCCAGGCCCCTCTCTTCAAGGGACCTCGTATGTGAGACTTCGGCACTTTAAATCTCAGGTTTCGCTCTCTAGACAAGGAATATGCTAAGCCGAAGAATGGATGGACTCTCTCGAAGGTATATTTGTAACAGTAACATAACAGGAGGTTTTCCTCCAATTAGGCTAGACTGTGAATGAAAGAGGCTTTGCTATTTGCTCGTTGGTTCTTGGTAGTGTGAGACTGGTTCTTTACCTGTCTCGTTCTCGCTTATTTCTCATGTTCTCTTCGCTTTAAATCGGCTTCTGAACTCCATAAATGTCTTCGCATTGCTACCAAGACCATTGTCCATCCAAAATAAACTTTTCTTTTAAAGAAAATAAATAAAAAAATAAAAAAAGAAATAACTGATAATTGAAATAGAGAGACGACTTTGTGGTTCAATGATCCTACACTAAGAATCAATAATTTCACTTCAGTCATAAAAGTATATGTAAAAAACTCAATTTGAGACATATATACTTTATTTATTCTCTACTTTCATAGACAGGATTGAGATGAACCAGTGTAAATAAGGACATTTTCATATAAGCATAATTACTGAAAACTGCTTCATATGTGAAGGTAGTTAACAACACTGGTTCAACATATGGCTGACAACACTGGTTTCCCAAACCCAACTGCCTAATATTTTAGTCAAGTACTAAACGTGTATTGGTCATTCATGGCAAGTAGTGGAGGCTCGAAACTCCGTAATCTAATCAGGTAATGGACAGGTCACTTCACTGAGTTCTCATTAATCCCCTTCCCAGCTGGCTGATACCTGCTGTGAATACTAATGATGATGGATCTGCAGGTACACATGGCAGCGAGGAACAGTGACCCTGGTGGGGAAAGAAGAAGAGGCAGGGAGTGGGCAACTCAGACTCCGGAGAGTGGGTCGTCATATGGCCGGGACATACACCGTCACTGCCTCCAGCAGTAGAGGCTCCGTCAACGCCTCCTTCATCGTCGACGTTCAGTGTGAGTAAAATTCAGTGTATAACGCGTCTAGGTTGAGCAATTTACAGAACACGAATAGGAAATATTGACGCGTGATACAGAACCATGTTCCTCTATTTTCAGAGTTCATTTGAAGGTACTAATGATGATAGCTTGTTGCTAGTGGCTCACTATATGGCCAGGATTAATTACACTTTGTGTTGGTCATCTAGGACGAAATAGGAACCAGGGGGATAACAGTATACATTAAATAAGCCTGGGCTTTGAAAAGAAACTGAGTTAGGATAATAGCCCTATACCTGTAAAATCAATAGTGTTAATAAAAAGACATTCAAATCAGTGAATTGTAAATGAGGGTGAATCACTGCATGATGTATAAATTTTACATCAGTTCATGGTCATTACGGTGTAACAAAAACATCTATATAAAAATATGAGACAAAACTCCCCTTGCCGCTCGCTAGCATTGTGTGTGATGCTTTTTTTTTAAGCAAGTCTGGTGTAGGGCAGCTCTCAGCTTTAAGATAGAACAATAACATTAAGGAGGAAGGTACAGCTGTTGCTTGTGCTGTCAACACTATCTAGCGCCTCTCTCATGTACTGTTTTTGTTTGTACATAGTTAATCTTTGCGGTCAAAGAGGTGTTACCTTTCCTCTGTTTTAAAGTGTGAATCTAACTGTGGTCTGTACACACTACAGACACGGATAAGAGCTGATACTCGATATTCGACAAAACACACACACACACACACACACACACACACACACACACACACACACACACACACACACACACACACACACACACACACACACACACAGGTCCAAGAGCTGGTACTCGATCACTACAACAAATAGATGGGTACACTTCCCTCTATCTCATAACCAATAACTAAGTAGAATATTGTATCCTCTATGGCAGATGGTGCCGAGAACATCACCGCTCCCAAGAGAGTGTTGGTAGACCAGAATGACACGGCTACCGTGTTGTGTTCCGCCTCTGGCAACCCAACACCCAATGTCACTTGGTCAAGAGATTCTGATGATACCAGGTAAGCTGACGCCAATATTTCACAAAATGCTTTAATGAAACATGATTGATAAAAAAAATAATAAAATTATGCATATTTTAACCAAATATATACATTTTTTTGAAAATCGCATGCATCTTATTTTGAAAAAACAAAAAAATGTGTGTATTTCGGCAAGATTAGCTGGAGCTGCTAAATTAATTTCGTTGTAAAAAATCTGCTTACTATGTTACTCTTGTTAAGGAATGTCATTAATAAAAATATGGAAAAAGTTTTAGAAATAATTCGGCATTAAAAAACCATACCACGGGCGGAATTTGAACCCGCGGTCAGAGAGTCTCAAAACTCCAGACCGTCGCGTTAGCCACTGGACCAGCTAGCCACATTAAGGTTCGTCCAACTAGGTATATTTCTACACCATAGGACGGTCCGGAGTTTTGAGACTCTCTGACCGCGGGTTCAAATCCCGCCCGTGGTATGGTTTGTTTGCAATCGTGTCATTACGATTTCGTGAGTCAATAATTCAGCATATTTGACTACTTTATATCTATAGACAGATACATATGTTCCTTGTCGTGCGTGCGTGTCCCTATGCATACCACAATCGTGGTATGCATATATAATATATATATATATATATATATATATATATATATATATATATATAATGAAGGAGGGGTGTTAATATTGCAGTTTAAAAACTGTGGTGTAAAGCACCCTTCTGGCAAGACAGTGATGGAGTGAATGATGGTGAAAGTTTTTCTTTTTTTCGGGCCACCCTGCCTTGGTGGGAATCGGCCAGTGTGTTAACAATTCATATAATAATATATTATGTATATATATATATATATATATAATATTATATATATATATATATACATACATACATACTATATATATTATATATAATATATATATATATATATATATATATTATATATATATATATATATATATATATATATATATATATAATCTAATATATATACCTGTTATTAGAATTCTGACATTAGCTCATTGGTTTAATTACTGCGAGCAGAATTCTAAAAAATACATTTTAACGCATAGAAATTAGGAAAGGATTAGCTTCTTCATATATATATATATATATATTATATATAATATATATATATATAATATATATATATATATATATATATATATATATATATGTGTGCGTGTGCGTGCGTGTGCGAGCATGTGAGTGTGTGTTAATTTAAATACACGATTGTGGTATGCACAGGGACACGCACGCACGCACGACAAGGAACATGTGTATCTGTCTATTAAATGATAATGAATCACTCAAATGCCACATTTTTTCAGAGGATTTTAATAACTATCAATAAATCAAGACCTGTGATTTTAAAAATAATGTCAATAATATTTTTAGATTTGTGTTTCTTGTGCTATCTTTTTTTCTCTCTCATACTGTTTATATCTTGGCTTGCTTCATACATTAACATCAAGGGATATACACACCAAGAGGTGTGTTTATCTCAGTGTATATACACCAAGCCTTGTGTATTTCTGTGTATTTATCGTGACTTTCAGCCTAGAGATTTAGGCTTTAAATTTAAAACTGACTTTTTCATCAGTTTTCAGTTTCGATAATTCATCTGATTACAGCTGCTGTGTATCTCGCTAAACATTCTTTGCTTCTCAGTGTGGTGCTGTCGTGGGGTGTAGGCGAGGCTTACCTGCAGGTGGAGTGGTCGACACCTTCAGACACTGGGATTTACTACTGCCGAGCCTCCAACCTTGTCTCCTCACCTCCCAGTGTTGCTACAGCTATCGTTGTCACACGTGAGTTAACATGGGTTTAACTAAGTCTTGATGCACGATAACACACACACACACACACACACACACACACACACACACACACACACACACACACACTTGCACACATACACACATAAATACACATTCATGTGTAATGAATATACTATTCTTCAAAATCAGTAACATAATTCGCCCCACTAAGGGCTACATCTCTGGCCCACATCACAGAACAAAGATCATCATTACTGCATGTTTTCATACCCATTGTTTTATCTACCCTACAGAAGCCCCTACATCGGCTAGCAGCCTCCTGGAGGAAGAGGAGGTGGCAGGAAGGTCGTGGGCTGTGGTGGGTGGCAACGGCTTGTTGGACTGTCGAGTCAAAGCTTCTCCTCGCCCGACTTTCGAGTGGATCGCCGAGGATGGACCCATTACCGACAACAACAGAAAATACGACATCCACGTACCCCAGGTGAAGAATAGACACTTAATACCTAATGACATGTCGGCTATTTAGACAGCTATTTACTGTCTCATGTGATGGGGGACACTAACCAGTAAGTTTGGCCCTGGCTCGAAGGGAACAATCTCAACAGATAAGGGTTAATATAAAAACACTGGAGCGAACCATTGTCTTGTAAGCAACCTGGTTTGCATTGCGTTTGAGCATTTCCTGATCTAGTCCCCCGTAACTACAATCTTTAAAAATATCAACAGATATTCACTGCTGAGTACTTTTCTTGTATTACTGTCCAGCATATTAAAATGCGTTTGTATTTAGATATACAGATCCATATCAGTTTAGGTCGTCTCCTTCATTAGATCGAGGTAATATTAGTAAATAAATTAATTATTGTTGTTTTTAAAAGATGATCAACTGATCCAATTTTTGCGTTAATTTTAAAAAAATCGATAAGTTTTATTTTCTCGTGCACAGTTTTTTTTCTACGTATACAGTCTAATTCCAAAACTGTGAGACAGATGTGCATATTTATACAGTTATTGTCCCTCACAGTCTTAACAAGACAATGGTATATAGACTGATGTATATATTTTTAAACACACTTACCTTAATCTTTAATTCACGGATTAAGCATAGTTGATGTTAACGTACAGGTCAGTTGCAGCCTTAATGTCTCACGTTCAGTCAACAGGATTTGGATAAAACACACTGGTCCCTGAACAACAGGATAATGATAGATGTAACAATTAATACCTTGGGTCCCCACCAGCTGATGGACAGCGTGGCTGAGTGGTCATCAGTGTTGGAAATACGCAGTGTTACGGCTGGAGATTTCACTAGTTACACCTGCGTGGCCACCAATCCTCTCGGATCCTACACCTTGAACTACACCCTCAGCCCGCCTACCCATCCCGGCACACCTCTCAGCCTCAACGTAAGAGTTCCGTCAGTGTTTCATATTAGCATTAATATTTTAGTCATGGGGAAGCGCTTAATCCTTAGGGGTATACGGCACCTGAGGAATGGGAAACCATCAGGTTTGATCTGAGGAAGAGGAGGGTAGCTCTTATTCTTTGTATCAAGAGCCCTTCAGCTCTTGGCACAAAGAAAACGGTGATTGTTTGCCACGGAGCTCGGGACAGCATTGTATGAAGCGCTAAAGTAATATAGATATTGTAATTTAGCACACGGGAGTATACGGTGATGCTAAAGCAGCATGAGATTGGTAGTTTCCAGACTGGAAGAATACACTAACAATGGTGCGTGTTTGTGTGGATCTCTGCAGGTAACAGCGGTGAGTGACACCACTGTGGAGGTGAGGTGGTCAGACTTCACTGTAGGTCCTCGCCCTGCAGGCTACACCATCAGATACCGCACTACTACAGGACAACGTCACTATGAGGTTAGCATCCACTGCTCTAAACACCCTCTAGCCAAGCATAATATTTTGGAAGGTCAGCTGTCTCTGTCTCTCTCTCTCTCTCTATCTCTCTTTCTCTTTTTCTGTTTCATTTATACATGTTTCTTGCCTCTTATCACATATTGTTTGCTTTTTTTCTCCTAAATTTTAATTTCTTCACAGTTCCATGTGCACTTTGTTAATGTTTCGGTAAGAAAACGATTATTTTATATTCATCTCAAGCTTCCTTGCACTTACAAGTGTTGCATAAGACAGAAGCTGCTTTTTCTCTCTTACATAATAATAATAGGCTATTGTTGTTGCTATTTTGCTTTAAAAATCAATGTATTGCGTGCAAGCAGCAACACAGGTGTAACACCTGTACTTTAATTTTTCTCATCGCCAGCTGTTATAGCTATTTTTAAAATATTTAAAGACAATATTTACTTTTTCTTGGTAGTTGTGTTGCTGTTGCACTTTTCAGTGAAAGAATTTGATCATAATGAGATACATCATATTTGGAATTTAGTTTCTGAATGAGCACTAGTTTCTTGGCTGAAGTTAGCTTCCAGTGAAGCCAAGTATGAAGAGCGTGGCAGAAACTAATGACATGGATGTTTGTTTGAGTAGGATATGTTGCTAGTGACATTACCAAACACTGGACAAAACTTTTTCCCACCCACCCCCAGTGCATGTTGTATGTCAGAGGCTATTATCACCGTGGGAGTCATGATGTGCCAGTTCCTATGTGAAGAGGAAAACCAAGCTCAGCTCAGACTGTGGCCACATACCAAAGAAATTCATTTATTTGGACTGGAAAAATGCAGAAGCATTTTGCATGTCGTGTGGTTTACAAGTTTGTAAGTGTTTTCAAGGTGAAAAAATCTCGAAATGTTTAACTGCCTATTACTGAATAATCAATACCTTGTCCAGGGAAATTCAGTAGCAATTATGGCAGCACTAAGGCACTTACCATGAGCTCTTTTGGCTGCGGCCGCTGTTTGAAATCTCACATTCATTCAGTTTTCTTACGTTCATAAGCTTGGTTTTCCCCCGGAGTATGCCAGCCCTGAAGATCGAATCTGCCTAAGACCCCCCGACTCCACTCACACACACGGACTGACACGTGTTGGTGACCCACTGCCTCTTATTCATGCATACTTCCCCCCTGTTTCTGTCCCACGCCCCGTTCCCTCCGTCCACCACCCTCCTCCGCACAGCTGGGTGACTCAAGTATGGAAAGCCAGTTCCTCATATCGAATCTCGCTCCCCCTCCCACCCCCGTGCAGCTCGTCGACATCCCCGGCACCAACATCACCAGCCTCGTCATTGAGGAACTCAAGCCAGGGGCGGAGTACTCCTTCAGTATCCAGTCGTACAATGAACAGGGACGAGTCTATCACACCTCCCCACCAGTCGTTGTTATTATGAGTGGTGAGTAGCCGATTATAGTTTTCCTGTAGCCTCAGTGGGGGTAATACTTTAATAATTATAAATTTAAGCTAAAGTGTCAAAGCCGTGAGGATCATACACTACCTGGGAAATTGGAGGTAAATCTGGTGTGATCAGAAAGGGGAGAGGAGAATTAATTCCTTGGATAAAGAACTCTTGACCACCATCAAAGTTTTTCCCCTTTTAAGTTCACCTAAAACGCTAGAGATGGGTTTCCCCACTTCCGTTCACAAAAATGGCAGGCAGTATCATCACAGGATAATATATATATATTTATATATATATATATATATATATATATATATATATATATATAATATATATATAAACTGCCATTACCGTATTTATGGAAGAGCAGTAAACAGGATATAAAAAAAATAGAAAGTGACCATTTTCAAATTAACTCATATATTTATGAAAAGAGATATTGCTCATATCAGATCCAATAGGATCACTGTTTTCTCCTCCCTGTGGGAGAGTAATAATACAGTTCAAAGCGCTCATAATATTTTTACCATTTGCATGATTCCGCTGAAAGCGGAACCATAATTATTTTCAGCTATCTTCACTTCCGTCCAGGAATTTGTTGCTTAAGTGAATACCCTCATTAATAGTATTAAATTTTAAGATTGAGCATGTATGTATGTATGTATGTATATATGTATGTATATGTAAACTGCTGTATTCTGGGCACCTCTGCAAAAACAGTGATTATGTGTGAGTGAGGTGAAAGTGTTGAATGATGATGAAAGTATTTTCTTTTTGGGGATTTTCTTTCTTTTTGGGTCACCCTGCCTCGGTGGGAGACGCCCAAGCTGTTGAAAATAAAAAAAATTATATATATATATATTATATAATATATATATATATATATATATATATATATATATATAATTATATATATATATATATATATAACCATTTGGAGGCTCGAACAGGGTTATAGGGTTTGAATGAAAGTTTAGTCACAAAATAGTTCTGTAGCATAGAAATAGATGTTGTATATTATATGACACATCAGATAGGAAAATCAAAGACAAGTTGACCCATTTTTAAAAAGTGACGTTTTACTAGTTAAGAACTTTCGCTCTCACGAAAGAATTGGTCAGTCAACGATTCACAGCTTGCGAACCTGCTGTCTTTCACACATCATATCCCTTCACCTTAATACTGGTGAGGGGTTGTTGATTCGAGGAATTGAACCTGTCCCCTTCCTTTGGATCGAAACTGACTACCTCTTATTTTCCCAGGCGTTGTGACCCCTGCGAGTATAGCGTTCCCCACATGGATGCAGAGATAACAGTCTTAGTAGAGTTTCACTGACACTCATGTCTGTTCATACTTCCATTCGAAATTCATTTTACAAGAACGAGAACGTAAGACAAATCTTCCCCTATGTATCCAATGTATACTTAGTCCTTTTTACTATGCATGACGATGTGATTTCCTTTGAATACTGTTTATGCGAATTTTATATATGTATTCACACACATACACGTGCATTTCTATTCTCGCAGAAGCTGAAGATGACGTTGTCGTTGTCGAGGAGCGGCCCAAAGGCATTTCTTTCATCGTGTTCCTCCTGATTGCTGTCACGGGAGGAGTGTTAATTGTCCTCAATATTATTGGCGTCCTTTGCTTCTTACGTCGCCGATCCTACTTCCAAGAATTTGCAGGTAATTCTTGTCTCTCTCTCTCTCTTTCTACTTCGTTTTATGTATTCTTTTACGTTCTCGCACGTAACTTCTGTAATTATCTATGAAAGTTTTTTCAGATGACTTGCTATGTTTTTTTATTAGGTTATAAATTGTAGAGGATGGTTGTCAGGAGAAGATGAAAGTTGAAGGATGATGATAAGACTACGTGAGATGATGAGAGAAGATGAAGGATGATAATAAGACTACGTGAGATGATGAGAGAAGATGAAGGATGATAATAAGACTACGTGAGATGATGAGACAAGATGAAGGATGATAATAAGACTACGTGAGATGATGGAAGATAAGGATGATAATAAGACTACGTGAGATGATGAGACAAGATCAAGGATGATAATAAGACTACGTGAGATGATGGGTTATAGATAAAGGATGAAAATACGACTACGTGAGATGATGGGGAAGTATGAAGGATGATCATAAGATTTCATGAGAGGCTGAAGATTGAATTTTAGATCCTTTTACGAGCTGAGAATTTAGCATAAATGACCAGACCAAGAATTAAGGAGCAGACTCTTAAGTCTTGTGTTCAATGGAGTTCCTTATTTCTTGGTCCATTACTGACAATAATTTATATTATTGGTGATTTATATGGGATAATTTTGGGCACAAAATAAAGATCCTTGTAGAGTTCCCCAAGAAATTTGTTCATGAATTACCATTTTTTTTTTTACAAATTTTAACAATGCATTATTTTAAAAAAATGGTAAATATTTCTTGCAAGCATACCTGGTTTTGTGTTGTCATATGTCTTATTTTAAAGGAGAAAAAAGTAGGGTTGTAATTAGATGTTGGTGAGTAGTAAGTTAGGCCTACATGTTTCTCATCGTCTCAGCGTCTTCGTGCAAATCGTCAGCCTATGAGGTGCCATCGCCGTCTCAGGTGGACAACCTGTCACTCAGCTCGTCAGACGACATCCCTCCACCAGACTACGAGGTAACACCTCCGCTGCTCGTCCACCAGGTAACACCTCCGCTGCCCGGGGTCCCTCTCTCTCACATGTTTGTCCGTCATGATGCACGCCGAGTGTTTCACCTCTGTGTGAGGTCTGCTGGACCCTCAGGGAGAGAGAGAGTTGGCTAGTCCAGGGCCCTGCAGGCTGAGTGACACCAACTACACCTCACACATGGTTGACACTCTAGGCATATATTCGCACGTACCCCACACACATTCACAAACATATATATACAACACACACACACACACACACACACACACACACACACACACACACGCACACGCACACGCACACACGTACACTCACTTGTATTCACTTTGCCCGGGTCATCGGAAATGGTTACCTGTACTGTCACTAGAATTAGTTGATCTTACCGCCTCCACATCACCACTACCGTCAAAAATCTCTAAGACAGAAGGCTTGAGATCTTCTCTTCCGTTTTACTTCAGAACTCAACCCTCGACCCAGTCATCATCTCTCCCTCTCAACTTGCTCCCACCACCCAGCTCCTCGCACTAAACCCATCAATAAATCCGTATATGTGTTTGCTTCTTCGGAACCCAGAGTACTAAAAGTATCTGATCCTGTGAATTAAAGACAATGTGCCTCTATGCTCGTTTAACCTTTTAACATAAACTAATAATCAACAAGAAATACAACACTTTTACTCAAAATCAACTAGAATTTCGTCATTTCGGCTTTTTTTATACCCCTCTCAATCATTTATAAAGCAACGATAGTAATTATTTTGATATTTGAAAGAATGAACGTCAGTCAGGTGTCTTTTAATAAAGGGTAAAGTAAGTTTCATGAATCAGGTGTTCTTTAGCAACCAGGTAGTGGGTGTATGTGGGAGGAGGGTGTCTTTGGGTGTAACTTTGACTTTGTTTGCAGTGTGTGATAACCTGCAGACTCCCATCTAGTGAGTCAGGTTTTCTGGTGAACCTTACACAGCAGATACAACTCGCTGAGTTCAATTTAAATATTTAATTTCCATGAATAGTATTTTTAAGCAGTGCCAAAACCCAGGTACTTATTCGAATAATGATCATTACCAGATAATAAAACTGTATTATTTTAGCTAACTTAAGGTATAAGTGAAATAATCGTTAATAAGGAGTCTGAGAGGGAGTCAGATTTCGTGGGAACTGACAGATTTAAGCAGATTTTTTATGAACACACCTGGATCAGTGAGAAAGAGGAGGGTGGGTCAAATTCCTTGGATTATAAAAAAAAATTACTAGCTTCAATACAACTTGTCTTTTGAATGAATTGGGATTAATGCAAAAAATCAAGATGGTCACCCGCAGCCTACAAAATTCTGAATTACTCGCTATCAGATACATCTGCGTCATTAACAATAACACGATTTGAGATCAGAATATATATATATAGTTGATTCATAAACGACAGTACACACATCATGTTTCCTCATCAGGGAAGGTGTTCCAAGTCATTCTCTCTCTCTCTCTCTCTCTCTCTCTCTCTCTCTCTCTCTCTCTCTCTCTCTCTCTCTCTCTCTCTCTCTCTCTCTCTCAACATTTAAATTCTGTCACAACAAAAATTCATATTCCAGTATCATAACTGTTTCGCTCTTCAACCATCCACTGTTTCTCAACATATTCTTCCGCTTTCTAACCTTTCACTATTACCTTTGTTATTCTCTTTACCTTGCCTCTGTTCATAAACTTATTCGTCTGTTTATTTTCTTTCCTGCTCTCAAAACCCCTTACATAATTTGTCATGTACATGCTGCTAAACTTCCTTCATATCCTTCTCTGTTCATTAATCTTCTAATCGAAGACTCACTGTCGTTGCTTGTCTCTGTCCCCTTTAAACTGTAGGTCGACTTTGTGTTGATTTAAATACGCATATCTAACCTGTTATGTAAATATATATAATAGCTTCATCTCTCTTAAATAAATATTGTCACGTAAGGCAGAGCTTAGGTGTTGTTCTCGTCCCGCTATGATCCACGTTCGCTGTCCCATCGTTCCTCTGTGTTCAACTGTGTTTTTTGTAGCTTCGCGTTAAGAACTTTATCTTCTTTAAATAGTTAATTTATGAGGAAGCTGAAGAGTTGCAGGACCTGCTCTTATTAAAACAATGTTTTGCTCTGTACAGTGCGAAACGTTTTGAATATAAAAGCTGGCTTTGCATCTTTTTTCTTATTTTTCAATATGCCATTTTAATCCATTTTCTTAATTTGCTAAATATTCCAACTTCTTATAATATTTGCCATTAATTTTTTAAACCAACTATGTATATTCAAATTTCTTGCCAGTGTTGAATAGAGTTGCATATTAAATCAGCACAAATATATTTAATTTCTATTTCACTGGATTAAATTTGCTCTGTTAAGTATCGATATGTAACATTTTTCACGCCTTCGTTTTTTTTAAACAAAATACGGGATTTGCACATGTTGAAACTATTCATCATTCGGTAAGTCTGCCAATATGTTACGCCAGTGTTCTTTGTTGTTACAGCAGGTGATGGGGTCGTGTCGTGTTGGCTCGTTCGGTGGAGGCAGTCTTCAGGATCTGTCTTTGCCTTCTGGTTCCCGCGGCACACCCTCCCTGGCTCGTAGTTCCCCCGTTGTCACCTCCTCCAGCACCATCTCCAACAGCGGTGCCGATATCATTGCTCCCCCCGATGACTTCTCCAGTGGTATCGTGAATCTGAGCCCTGGTAATTATTTTTTGTTGGTCCTCTTCTTTGCAACTTGAATAGATTTCTTTAAGTGTTAAAACATAGTTACAGAAAATATTTATTCTTTGTATTGATTATGCAAGACTACACTTGAGTATTTTACAGAGGACGAGAATGTCCAATAAAAGAGTGAATTAGAGGTGATGATAGAAAAATATTGTTGAAGTTTCTGGAGAAAAGATTTAAGAGGCAACTTTTACTCCATTCCTTACAGACGACCATGAATCTATGTCATCCCGCTATGGGAGAGGTTCCTGGGCTAACCTTGAAGCAGACCAACCCATCTGTCACTCAGCTAGTCCCCAGCAGACTGCCTACGACCAGGAGCAATATCGCCTGCCCAGACCAGTGGGACATGTGTCTGCATCAGCGTTCCGTAGTATGGAATCTCTCGCACAGTTGTACAGCCAACACTACGAGCCACAGCCAGCCTTCACTCTGCCCAGACGTCCCTCTCAGGTAACCTACCATGGCCAACCTCATCTTCAGCAGCAACTAGAACAGGAACAGGCTCAATACCAGCAAATGGAACAGCAGAAGCAGTACCAGCATGCCCAGCAGTTGAGTTCATCCGTTGAGTATGAACAGCCAGCAGTTCATGAGCAGTACTTCATGCATCAACAACAGTGTTGTCAACAAGACCCTGTAGAAGGCAGCATGACTGTTCCTCCACCTTATGCCAGCCTCGACCCATCAACACTGTACGCTCTCCACACAACCTTTGAAGATATTCACAAACCTTCAACAAGTTACACTGGTGAGCGAGTCTACAGATTATACCTAGATACATCTTTCTGTATGCAAAATGTACTTTAAATGTTTTTTGGAAACTTTACTTTCATCACAATTAACGTAGCTGTGTAACACATACAAACAAAAAATAAGCTAGCCTATAGCACATGTGTCCCATTCCCATTCTTACGAACCTTTAGACTCGTAAGAAACCAGCACGTGTAACAAAAGCTCATTTAAAAAATCACCTTTCGTATCTTTCAGATTGGCCACCCATGGCGTCAGCTTACCCAAGAAGTGACCATGGTGAGACCTAAACACAAAGTGTACTTCAGAATGGTGTTTGGTCCCTGTGTCACTATGGTACCTGTGTCTTCACTTTACCATCAATATCTTCACCTACATAACCAGTACCTTCACTACTGCTGTCAACACTACATTACTGGTGTATTTGTAATGACTGGATGTCTTCCCTACATAACCGGCGAAGTGATTACCTCGACACACTCACTGTTTCAGACGGCCAGTGTAGCGCTGTTATCCCTAACTCTAGTGACAGAGTTGCGCACACCGTCATTCTCATGGCCACTGGCGAAGAGCCAATTGTGTTCTCTACGAGGCGTGTATGTGTGTCTTCTGACGACCCATCACTGTATTGTCTCTTCTCCATGGATGTCATCTTGTGTTTTCCAGTGTTATACCAAGTAGCAAACTCTGGAGACCACGTGAGTAGTCCACACGCATCTTTGATTATCTTCAGACACCTTCAGGGGAAGGTGCCACGTTGCCGGCAGTGATACAAGAAATACAACTTATTTTACCCCTTCTTGAAATGAAACTTTATCTTCCTGCAGCAGTAGTAGTTTAGTAGTTTACCAAAATAATAATAATAATAATAATAATAATAATAATAATAATAATAAATCGAAAGGTTTTCCATAATATAATCAAATTAATCCGTAAACCCGTTAATTTTCTATAAACATAAAAGTGGTTTTAATCATTCACAGCATTTAGTAAGCGACAATTGTTCGAATGCGATTTTAACCCTTAAATGGTCCAAATGTATATATACGTTTTTTCAACATCTGAAAGTATGTAAAAAAAATGTAGATCTTCTTTTTTGTTTTACATTTGAAAACGTGTAAAAAAAACTTTTATCTACATTGTTTTTGTTATATTTGAAAATAAGTAAAAAAAGTAGATCTACTTTTGTAAAATACGAATTTGAACGTTAATCTCTTTGGACCGTTTAAGGGTTAAGTATATTTTAGTGATTTTATTTTACTGTAGTTATTAGCATCTATGAACAACTGTATTGTTTCAGTTCCTAAATATTGTGTTTCTCCTTCCAGTCCTGCCACCAGATGTAATACATCATGAAGAATGCCGTGGATATCAATATTCCTTTGTGTTGACCAACCCCAGGGATTTCCAGCAACAGCAACGTTGAACGGTCCATCATGACCAGAAACGACGAATTCCGACCACAGCCATAAAACTAGGAATTTCCATACAGCAGCTATCGTCCAATCCATACGACAGTCTTCTAGAACATCAACCAGGTCTTTCGAGCAACAAGCAACACGCCAGAATTATATCCACGGCATCGACCAGTCCCCCAGGGACATAGATTAGTCTTCCAAAGTGTCGATCAGTTTTTAAACTTGTCAGACCAAGCCTACCAGGTGTTCAGAGACCGTGATGGTGTACTCGTCCACACTGTCTGGCATCCAGATATGTGAACATTTACTTTAGCTATATCTCTTCTTGCCATGTGTGTTGCGGGAATCTGTCGAGAATATTCTTGTTTGGAAAAGTGAATGAATGATATATAAAATTCTGTGTATTTGCTCATACCAGAATTGCTCCATACAATGTATCAACATTAATGCAATTTTATATTTTACAAATAACACATGACCTGCTCATTTGAGTGGTGCTCAAACAATAATTCTACCAAAGCATATACATTATTTTGTCCATTTATATTGTATATAGCATAAGAAACTTTAAGATAATTATCTTAATGAAAGTATTTCGGTTAAACACACTAAAATAATGAGCGTTAATATTACAAAAAACGCAACACAAAATAAACTGCAATATCGTTGTATGTATCTGTGTTAAAAGTCAATAATAGTTTATACAAATATCATACAGGGTAAATGCATGGAAATAGACTTGCATGCATATCGAAATGTAAATGAAGCATTGTCTTGACATTTAATCAATGCATCATCTGTATATCATGTCAAACATCTGTTACCCAAACCTTCATTCATTCATCTATTCATCAATCAAATCATCTCCCAGAGATATATTCGCTCATTTATCAAGTTAAAAAGGAAATCAGTTATCATCTCAGACAAACATTCATTCATGCACCATTAAGATATCACATCAATCATCCTCTCAGACAGACATTCACTCATTCACCATCCAGATGTCATATCAATCGTTCTCTCACCAGACACCCCTTCATTAACTTGTGAATATGACTGAAGCGTTCTATTTTCCCATCTAATCTACCTCGTCTCTACACATCCATTCTTACTAAACAAACTATTGCTCCTTAAGGGCAAACCTCACATCATACTTCATGTTTCTACACATCGTTGAAGTTCTATCTTTGGACATTCTTTGGTTCCAAAATAGACTGCCTAAGTCTCAACTCGTCTGTGATAAGATGTTAGAATAACATTTGTCCAGTGCATTGTTCTGTTTGTCTCCTTCAGTCCCCCTGTTTGTGTATCTCTGTATGTGTATTGATATACTTAAAATGTGTCGAAGCGAGTACACTAGATATTGATGTATGTTAGTACTCTCGACTTTCATTAATAAAAACACTTATGATCATTTACTTGGGTTTCTATTTAATTTTATTTTAAATGTTATCAGGCGTAGTAGTGTATCATGAATGTGATATTAGATGTTTAAGTTTGCAGGTATTGTGCAACAAATACAAATTACGTATAGTAAATATTGTTATATCTTGGTAAGAAGATTTTTTATTAATCTATGAATTTATGAATTGTTTTCAGAAACTGATTCAAAAAAGAAATGGTGAAGAGAAGGCAAATGTTGCAGAACAGGCTTAGTGTCTTGATCAAATTTTACACAGTGACCCTTCGGGAAACCTCCCGTGATAACGAAGGGCTCTTCATTCGAGAATTAAATCTACACCCCCTCTCTTCAGATCAAACCCAGTCACCTTCCATATCCCAGTAACACAGAGTGAAACTATCTCAATAATAGCTCGTTCTCCAACCTTTGTCTTTTCTCCACTATTGTCAGTGTTCCAGTTAGATCTTCCTTGTTAAAAAGACAGGAAATTTTATTTTATTTTTTTTCTACGTGAGGGAGAGCGTTAGCTGTACAAGTTAAACGTTCACTTCATTTATATGTTTAGGTGTTTAGATAATGTTAGGTAATATTAAACAGATGTGGGATATTATCCAAACTATTCTTATACCATAATATTAAGGTCCCAGAGATGTTAGAAACGTTATATATGAATGTTAATTTATGGTGCTGTATGTTATATAAATATATTTGAGAGAATAAATAAATTTCAATTGCTTTTAGTTTTTGTTCCTTCAGCTACTCCTGAGAACGAACTTGTGAAAGAAAAAGATTTACGTAGCTGAAGATCTTCCAACGCTGGAGATCTTGCAAGGACACTCAAGGAAAAACGTGTTATAACGCTAGTGACGGGCTTTTGATTCAAAGAAATGATCCATAATCTTCCTCAAATCAAACTACGTATATCTCATTTCCCAGGCGCTTTATGATCTACGGGTATAGCACTTTTCTATGAATATAGAAGCTAACGGTCGTAAAGCTTATTATAGGGTATGACAAGGTCTCCACTCATAACAAATGCATGTTATATATATTATTTAATTTAAAAAATTTTAATGCTGGTTAAATAGATGTTAATGAGTATATCACTCAATACTTTGTAGAGAGAGAGAGAGAGAGAGAAGAGCAATGGTGCATGTACACACAGAGGTATATTGTATGTCTCAATATGTATTCAGAAAGGGGGTATTTTAATCCCTATTGTTGGTAATAAAGTATTCTTTACTGGTGGTGTGCAGGTAACATGCGGCCTTTATGGGTACTGAACTGACAGGCTTTGAACCTAATATGCCAGATTGTTTTCTTACCAATTTCTAGAAACGACATGTCATCTCATTACTCGGTATCTCCGCATGTCCATGGCACCAAACAAAGTGCACAACCTTAGGCCCTGTTATGTTCCAATCACTTTTGAATGCACGGAAGGACAGAGGCATAATGTAAAGTGTCCTTGCATTAGTCTTCACATCACGCCTTTGCATTATATTGATTAAGCCAATGGATGGCGAAGCGCTTACAAACAAAGATACCCATGTGATGCACATGCATCTAATTCTTCACGATAACGACTGCCTTTGATGGTCTATATAACAATATTCCTTAATAACCTGAGTACAGTTTTAACGACCTATTAGAAATACACCTGGTAAGAGGCATCCCAGAATTCCGAAGGGTGACGACGCTGGCAGCAGATATGGAATGAAGGAGACGAAAAAAATAAATAGCTCGTGAAAGGAAATGGTATCTAAAAGACAAGGAAGATTGCAGTGAAACAAATAGCAGACAATCCATTATCAATTTGCTTCTCTTATTTCTGCATAAGTTGTTTCGACTCGCAGGGTCATGAAGTCTAGTACTATGTTACGTTTAAAACTGCAGTGGAATGATTTGACCAAGTTAAAACAATTGCAGTCCCGAGATTATTTATACTTGCGCTCAGAATGCAGCCAAAAGTATAACAATATCCTCGGGTCTAATACTTTAAAGAAAACAACGATACCTTTGCTACGGTTTACAAGACTTATTGAGAATGATTCTGCAAAAAACAGCAATAATCAGCACTAGTTTCTGTAGAGTAATGAGAAAGAAAGCTATGCAATGAAATTGTATACAATATTAATGAAAAGAATATTGATAATGAAGTGTGAAAAAGTAACTAACAGAGAATTTGTGTAATTAATGGAAGAAGTTGCAGCTACTATGAATTTTGTTTCTGTTTGGAACTGACAGAGCCACCAACAGCATAAACCACATTACTGAGTGCACAGCTCCCAGTGATGTGCACCACGGTGCGAGTCCCCGTCCATTCTTCCGTTTATTCATTGACAGCTGTTTTTACGGCTTGAGCTAATATGCTATCTTGTTAATTTCTAATACAAAACATGTCCATGAACTTGAAAAATGTATTCATGTATTCATTTTAAGCCATAAACCTGTTTGAGTCATACAGAACTGTTGACAGGAATGTGAGAGTGTAGGGGACTGCGAAGGGTAAGTGAATACGGGGTTTAGTGTGAGTAATCTGTTAGTATTCAGCCACATGAGGAATAATTGGGTATTTTGTGAAATTTATCCAGTTGTAATCCCAGAGAGCTACTGAAAAGCCATCCTATTTTAAAGGATGACTGGACTAGACTATTCTGACTGACAAAACCAGAAACCCAGAAACAGACTAGATGTTAGAGGGGGATCAATAAGATGACCTAGTATTCTCTGGTGATGACTATACTTTATAGACGTCGAATTTTGTAACAATGTGCTGGAGGTGTGATTTCTGAGAGATGGGAATTACTTCAAAAAACTCTAATCACTGCATCCTTGAGTATAACGGGAAGTTTACAAAACAATTTCACCTTTAACTAAAACCCTTCCCAGCTGCAGTAAGACATTTTTATCATTTGGTTGATCATCCTCTGCTGTGCTGATCCCAGAATTCTGTTTTCGAAACCACAGTGATTCATCATCATTTCTGAATCCCTTTGCCAAACGCGAATGAGGCTTCGACCACATTCACTCACTTGTTTACAAACGAATTTTTAATATTTTAATGCCATAATTATTGCATAAACGTTGATGAGGTGTCGATTTTTATGCCAAGTTAGATGGTTAATGATTGGTCGGAGTTCTGTAGCTTTTTTTTGTGACAACATTAGTTTTAAATAGATTATTAACCTAGTTTATGTAGACCACATAGTCTGGTGGCTGAAGCTCCCGCTTCACACACGGAGGGCCAGGGTTCGATTCCCAGCGGGTGGAAACATTTCGACACGTTTCCTTACACCTGTTGTTCTGTTCACCTAGCAGCAAATAGGTACCTGGGTGTTAGTCGACTGGTATGGTCGCATCCTGGGGGACAAGATTGAGGACCCTAATGGAAATAAGTTAGACAGTCCTCGATGACGCACTGACTTTCTTGGGTTATCCTGGGTGGCTAACCCTCCGGGGTTAAAAATCCGAACGAAATCTTATCTTATCTTATCTTACAAACACACACACACACACACACACACACACACACACACAACCACACACACACACACACACACACACACCAGAGCTAAGAGGTATGTCCTACGAGGAGAGGTTAAGGGAAATCAACCTGACGACACTGGAGGACAGGAGAGATAGGGGGGACATGATAACGACATACAAAATACTGAGAGGAATTGACAAGGTGGACAAAGACAGGATGTTCCAGAGATTGGACACAGGAACAAGGGGACACAGTTGGAAGCTGAAGACACAGATGAATCACAGGGATGTTAGGAAGTATTTCTTCAGCCACAGAGTAGTCAGTAAGTGGAATAGTTTGGGAAGCGATGTAGTGGAGGCAGGATCCATACATAGCTTTAAGCAGAGGTATGATAAAGCTCACGGCTCAGGGAGAGTGACCTAGTAGCGATCAGTGAAGAGGCGAGGCCAGGAGCTCGGACTCGACCCCCGCAACCTCAACTAGGTGAGTACACACACACACACACACACACACACACACACACACACACACACACACACACACACACACACACACACACACACACACACACACACACACTCATATATATATATATATATATATATATATATTATATTAATATTGTGACTTACTCTACTACTAATTGTGAGTAGTCACGAAAGCGCTTGGAACTTCTCTGTTCTTTCACAGTGGTTGTTTTGCATATTCTGAAATCACCTGTTTACTGTGATCTTATTGCATATATATATATATATATATATATATATATATATATATATATATATATATATATATATATATATATATATATATATATATATATGCAAATATTATTGTGTGTGCTTGTGTGTGTGTTTATGTACTCACCTATAAGTAGTTGCAGAGCCTTATCGTACCTCTTCTTGAAGCTGTGTGTGTGTGTGTGTGTGAAATGAAGTTTAAATAAAGTAGAATTTAGATTAGAGTTGTCGACTACTGGATCAATTTGCCCACAAGAGTGATCCAAGCTAGCAGCTTGAGTAGATTAAAAAACAGGTTCATTAAACTTGTGAGTGAGAAGGGCTACGTTTGAGAAAAGCTTTCCAAGTATGTCACAGCGCAGCGAGTCTATACTGTTCTTGTGTTCCTGTGAGGGAGTTCCATTACAAAGGGCCTTTCAAAGTAAACTCAGAAGGTTGTCTGCAGTTTATTTGTGGAATCCTGAGGACAGATTAAGATCAATAGCTCCCTAAGATCGTCAGTAAAGTTAACTCACACTTGTACTAGTACACACTTGTACTAGGACTGTACTGATGTCAGAGGATGTTGATATTTCATGACTTGTGCTTGTGACGCTTCGACAACTCACTCACAATATTCTTCTTCCGTTTTTACTTCTTCTTTATCATAATACAGGAACTTTGCTTAGAGATTTCTCTTCCTCTCGTCATCATATTGCAACAAGTTACATAGAGGGGAGGATGCATCAGAAGCAAACTGCTCTGACTTAATTATTACGTTGTGTTTCGAAATACAGAAAATCCTGTAAAAGAAAAAAATTAAGTAAATATTTGAAGGTATCAATATATAATGTACGTGTGTCACATGGTTCTTTTTTTTATCGTTCACCAGTTATACCACAGTGTTCCTTTATTCTTTTGTTTGCTTGTCTCGTGCTCGCACGTTCAATCGAAAGGAAAGTTTTCTTAACTTACTATGAGAAAGGCGGCTCCAAGGAGCAGCGCCTTAATCTGAACTTCCAGATCAACTGGAAACGTGACTTTGAAGTTCTCGTCATCTGTAAGAGCCTCGGCACACCACCCTCTCCACACCTTCACGATCTCACCCACCTCTGAAGAACCATCGTCTGTGAGCACCTGAAAAAGAATGAGGGAGAGATAGAAATTAACAAAAAAAAATTTGGGTGTCCTTTTTTTTTTAAGTCCTCATGCACTGTTAAGAATTTAATAGGTGTATGTTTACTTAGATCGCTGGTATGTTGTGGTTTTCGAATTCGATGTTAGGATTGCTTGAAGCCTTGTGTAGGACACACAGGATCAAAGCTGATGTGAAAAAATTAATCATCTCTAACAGTATGCAAATACAAGCCTATTTTCTGCGCATATTTCAAACATTTATTTTTTTCACATGATTTCAATATGAAATCCTTCTAAATCCTTCCTCAACAGAACATTACAGAATCAACCATCAATTTGCCTGGAGACTTTCTTTTAAGGATCAATCCTCGTTTATACAAAAAATAACCCGGTCATATTTAAAAAAAAAAGCAAATGTTTTGCAAAGTTAATTTAAAAAAATATTTAGAAAAAAAAGGAGTTGAATACCACTCTGATCCAGTAGAAAGAGGGAAAAAAAGAATTTTTATTGACATATTCTTCTAATTTATGGTCTCTGACGTGGGGGGGGGGGGAGCACTCAAAACAAACTGACTTCATCTTGATCAATACAAAATAACTTCGCTATGTTTAATCAAGCTTGACGAAAGGTTTAATGTGTTATCCCACCTTGAAGACAACGTCGCTACCGCAACCGACGGCGCAGCAGGGACCTTGGATTGTTAAGAGGGTGTCATCGGAGATGTTCTTCACAGAGAATTTGCCACTCATGGGAGTGCAGAAGCCCCACTCTTGGTGGATGCTTCCTAACGTGGCTCCTGTGGATGGGCAGGACACCTCCAGGGTCTGCGGGAAAGATCATTTTAGGGTCAACTTTGTTAATAAGGAGAGAGAGAAAAGTAGTGCATGAACACCTAGTACAGGGGCTGAGTATCCACCTCATTCAAAACACATTTCATCAGGTGTTCATGTTAAAACAAGGATGTCTCCTAATTCCAATGGCTGAAGACCAAATCCACCGTATCTAAGACATTGAGATAAGAACTGAATTTAAGGGATAAATTGCCGGAAATCTCCAAACGTACATATTATTGTCACACTCCTTCCTTTTAGAGGACCTCCCTTACCTGGAGACAGCAAGGGCAACAGCAACTACTGCATTTATAGGGTCGTGAGAGGTGGAGTATCTCTTGTTCCTGGTTATCAAAGAGACCCATCTCGAAGGCTCTGGCTGGGCCACAGCACTGCCGTGTACAACAATCAGTGTCCTCCCTAGCCATCATGAACTGCTGGCCCCTAGAGTCCTTCAGCGCGTATTTGTTGTTCATCTCGCATCCTGAGAGAACTGAAGCAAACATTTATCAATAGCATCCCCGTCATCATCTCTAGCGAATTAGATTCGTGTATTGGCTCAGCACTGAATACATCTACTTACTGGTAATGCAAAAAATGCGGATTGGAGAATAAAGGGACTGAGGAAGAGAGGAGGTTAGGGAGTAGGAAGAAATGTTTTCCTTGTTAATTAATGTTACATTCACTTGAATTAGATAATGGAGCTATGATTTCTTATGCTCTCCTGAATAATAAAATAAAAGCATCAACACGGAATGGATTTCTGATAAACTACAAATTCAGCTTTAACAGATCGGGTAAAACAAGTTTGTAATTCATTCCTCATGGAAAAAAAAAAGATGTTCGGGTATCAGAAATGCCGGCTGAAGATCCAAAATATTAACTCTCTTCTTAGTAAACACTTCATGGTTAAATATTGTGAAAACTAATTTTTTCCTTTAATTTTTAACCTTCTTCATCAATATTTTCGTTAGCAATCCCATTACCTGTCAATTTTTATAAGGACGACTGAGTCGGATTTTTCTTTACATTAAAGACTAGAAAAATAGCTTTGTGACTTCTTTCCTTTGAAGATGGATTCATGACTTCTACTTATCGTGGAATCTTTCTTGCGAAACCATCTTTCAGTGAGTCTCAAAAAGTATTCAAGCAGTAATCTTCATTAGAGACAACCATTCATATTTTAGCATGTATACACTGAAGCCCGAAGGCGCAGTCTAGCAGCCTTCAGCTCGATATCCATTGATAATTTATGTATGAACAGTGTTCTTTTAAGAGGATACATTCATACTGATGAAGGGTTCTTATTCCAAGAACTAGAACTACCCTTTTTTCATTCCCGAGGAGAGGCTATTTACTTACTAGATGAGAATGGAACACACGCAACAGCCTACGAACTGTCTGTGGCAGCACAGTCTTGGCTTTTGTACTTAGCAAATCATATAAAAATAATTTGCTTTTCATATTTCTTTGCTCCAAAATAAAAAAAAAAAATAAAATTGAATGGTGATTTAATGGTACCTTCGCTAAATGGTTCCATTTCCAATAGAAAAAAGTTTAACATGGAATATGTTTAAGTTGCCAATTACCTGTTTGAGAAACATTTAATAATAGCAGAACAATGAGCTGAGAGTAACCGTTTTGCTTACTTTTTTTCCCTTCTGAAACTTTCGCAGCATACCTCCAGGGATCCGCGGACGCTGGCTAAACACCTGACGCACATGCAGACCAACCAAGTATGCTAGGAATCGCCACGTTTACTAAGGAGCTCTTCAGTCACCGTCACACATTAGAAGGAACTTACTCTCAAACACTTCGAACTGTTGCTTGATGAACACCTGGTCCATCTGTGCCAGGTTCTCCAGCCCAGGGTACGCCATCAGTCTTCACCCCTTCAAGCGGACTGAGCCACTTCACCGTTACCAGCACCGCTGCTGTCGCCGCCGCTTCTGCCAGCACCGCCAACACTGCCAGGAGCTGCAGCGATAATCTGGAGAGACAACGGAGACAGGAAGGGAAGATCGAGTGATGCACTAAGAGTGATGCACTGAGTGATGCACTAAGAGTGATGCACTAAGAGTGATGCAGTAAGAGGAACAAAGCAACAATGATGGTAAATGCTAGTCTTTCGTGTATAAGAAGAGACTAATGGAGAAATTTAATGTCTTACTGGTGTATAATAGTTAACAATCGTCACTTACGCGTTAGTGAAGGTTCAAGAAAATGGGATAAATGTAAAAATGGGAAATGGGACCAAATGTACAGAGAACCTTCACGGCACACATAACTGCAATAAAACACCTAAATTTCTGGAAAAGCTTGAAGTTTCTCAACCTGTACTCCCTAGAACGCAGGCGGTAGAGATACATGATTATATACGCTTGGAAAATCCTAGAAGGATTAGTACCAAACTTACACGTGAAAATCACTCCCTATGAAAGCAAAAGACTTGGCAGAGGATGCAACATCCTTGCAATGAAAAGCAGGGATGCCACTAACACGATAAGAGACAACACAATAAGTGATGAATGGTTCTGAAAACCGACAAGTTAAAGATCGAGATACTTATGCAACATATGGGAATCTTTATTGAGGAAACGTTTCGCCACACAGTGGCTTCATCAGTCCAATACAAAGCAGAAACGTGTAAGGAGAGGAGGAGTTTGAGGTAATCAGTCCCTCAGCCTGGAGTCGATGTGTTCAGTCGATCAATCTTGTAGAATGTACAGCATAGGGCCGTAGACATGGCTTATGTACATTCCACAAGATTGATGGACTGAACACATCGACTCCAGGCTGAGGGACTGATTACCTCAAACTCCTCCTCTCCTTACACGTTTCTGCTTTGTATTGGACTGATGAAGCCACTGTGTAGCGAAACGTTTCCTCAATAAAGATTCTCATATGCTGCATAAGTGTCTCAATCTTCAACACAATAAGTGTCAGGGGCCTAAGACTGTTCAACTGCTTTCCATCATACATCAGGGGATTACCAATAGACCACATGAGGGGATTACCAATAGACCACATGATGGTATTACCAATAGACCCCTGGCTGTCTTCAAAAAGGCGCTGGACAGGCACCTAAAGTGAGAACCTGACCAGCCGGGCTGTAGCTCATACGACGTGTTGCATGCTGCCGACAGTAAGAGCCTGGTTGATCAGGCCTGGTCAAAAACCGGGCCGCGGGGGTGTTGATCCCCTAAACCCTCTCCAGGTATACTCCAGGTATCTAGAGCAAGAGCAAAAGGCAGATTGAGAACATGGTAACTAACGCTGGTAGGTAAGAGAGACGTGAATCCGGATGAAGGATACAGTGGGACATACCAGCAAATGTTTGTAGAAAGGTGGTTGCAGGAGGTATGAAATAAATGTAGAAAATGCACCACTACAGTGCACAGCAGAAGCTTGTAGTTGTTAGTGAGTGAGGAGGGGAAGAGGAATAATTGACTGACCGATGATGTAAACACGATGGTGAGAGAGAGAGAGAGAGAGAGAGAGAGAGAGAGAGAGAGAGAGAGGAGGGGGGCAGCAGAGCGATGGGACTGTAAGAATTTAGTAGCCACAAGGACACGACATTTGCAGACCCCCACACCCGTTGCTATTGTTGACGAAGTACACACACCAAATCCAATAATCAATTCACCTGTTATTCCAACACATTAGTCAATCAAGACCCCAACCGGAGTGAGAGAGAGAGAGAGAGAGAGAGAGAGAGAGAGAGAGAGAGAGAGAGAGAGAGAGAGAGAGAGAGAGAGAGAGATGGTAAGCAGTAAAGGAAAAAAAGAAACGAACTATAGGAATAATTGGGCCATTGTAGAGGTGATGGTGGAAGGTGTTCACACCTCCTAGAGTGAGCAAACACCTGTGCGCTGAGAACCATGACTACGAACTAACAGTAGCTGAGATCGATTCCGACACTTCCTTATCTGGTTCACTCCGCTTCTTGCTCACCAAAACCTCCTGCTAGTATTAGCGTAGCAGCAAGTAGGATTGGTTTAAACTGAGCTAAAACAGGGTAGCAGGTGTTAGACTGTAAACCCAACTGTGATTTTTATTTATGAAACTGTTCCTGAAGTTTCGACGGCATTTGTATTCTCTGAGGTTTTAATATATGCTTCCTTATCTTCTCTCTAGCATTCTCAACATGATGTCTCTATCTGCAGTGTTCGTTCCTCTCACTGCCGCTTTTTAAACTCATAGTTCACATTTAACTCATACTTTAATGAGGCAGTTTCAGCTAACGCTTCGGTCCGTTGCGAGCCATTATGAAATCCATGATTGACTTCATTATCGTCCAAAGGCCTTTTTCCAAAGTTTGAGTTATTTTGTAAATTGTTCCAATAAATTTGAACACACACACACACAAACACACACACACACACACACACACAACATACACACACACACACACATACACACACACACAAACATACACACACACACACCACACACACATACCACACACACCATACAAACACACGACACACAATAACACACGCACGCACACACACACACACACACACACACACACACACACACACACACAACACACACACACAACACACACACACACACACACACACACACACACACACACACACACATAATATATATATATATATATATATATATATATATATATACATTCATAAGAGTATACACATCTAGACAGACATACACATGTATGCATACATAAAAGAGTATGTAATCACATGCATACATACTCACATACATAGATACATACTATTATATTTTATTGAATCACAATTTTATTACCACCCTGTACTATTCCTTTTGAGTGTACTGGACCACAGACGGCTGGGGTAATGGAATACCTGGATACCTCTCTCCTGTCACCCAGCGACAGCAATATATCTAGCTTTTCTTCCGTGCGTAAGCGGCTTTGACCACCACGTTTCCAAAGAAAACTCATGCTGGTGAAAATGTCATGTTAATTGCACATCGAACATCCTCAGTCGAATACGGGTGAGTATGACGCTGGGGAAAGAGTTTAGTTTTGGCTGTGATCAGTCCCCCATCCTTGGTAAAAGGTAGTCACACACGTACACCTCTAATATGATATAAAGAGGAAGAAAATCAGCTCACGTACCTTCCCAGTTACAGTCTTCTCTCACCTGTCTCCCAACCACTACTGAACTTCCCTGAGGGTCGTGCGTCTACCTTGAAGCCTGAAGCTATTCTGTTGCAATAGTTTTCATTTGATTTATAGCCATTTATACCCTTCGTGGACAGAAGATGGGAAGGCTGAAGAAAATGCCTTGATGAAGGTACTGTATGATTCCCAATTTATTTAGACTTTCCTTTAATAATAATAATAATAAATGTGTGTGTGTGTATGTGAGAGAGAGAGAGATGGCATGTAATAATTTATATACATGATTTTGACTATACACGAAGAAACATACACAGGGACACGCACGCACGGCACGAAGCACGCACCTGGATACACACATGGTCCCAAATCTGCACACAGAAATCACTCCCTACGAAAGTAAAAGACTGGGCAGGCGATGCAAAATGCCCCCAATAAAAAGTAGGGGCGCCATTGGTACACTAAGGGAAAACACCATAAGTGTCCGGGGCCCAAAACTGTTCAACAGCCTCCCATCAAGCATTAGGGGAATTGCCAATAAACCCCTGGCTGCCTTCAAGAGAGAGCTGGACAGATACCTAAAGTCAGTGCCGGATCAGCCGGGCTGTGGCTCGTACGTTGGACTGCGTGCGGCCAGCAGTAGCAGCCTAGTTGATCAGGCCCTGATCCATCTGGAGGCCTGGTCATGGACCGGGCCGCGGGGGCGTTGATCCCCGGAATAACCTCCAGGTAACCTCCAGGTACACGATAAGAAGCACGCACCTAGAAACACACATGACAAGAAGCACGCACCAGGACACGCACACATACACGAAACATGCGCATGGAAAAAGTACACCTCCCCCTCCCACCAAAAATAAAAATCATGTACATTCACACTCTTCGAGAAGCATAAACACAGACACATGCAAATAGACAACACGAACACGTACACGCATCAAGCAAAACACACACGCATGTGTTGGAGTGTGCTAGAGTATGAAAAAAATTATAGAAAGCAAAGGACCCAAGAAAACAGAGTTGAGTCGATGAGCCAGAAATGAATATACTCAGATAAAGAGAGAAGTCCAGAGTCAGTACGAGAACGACATAGCATCAAGAGCCAAATCTGACCAAAGCTATTATACAGCCACAGCAGGAGGAAAACAAGTCAAGTACCAGGTAATCAGGACGAAGAAGGAAGGAGGGGAGCTCATAGGGAACAACCAGGAAGTATGTAAAGAGCTCAGCTCGCGATTCATGGAGGTATTCACAGTGGAGACAGAGAGGCTTCCAGCCAACCGAGATGGTAGGGTGAACCAGCAAATGCTGGACACACTGCACACAACCTAGGAGGATGTGAAGAAACTGCTAGGGAAATTAGGTACCTCGAGGGGTGGGCCCAGACAATATCTCTTCTCGGGTTCTGAGAGAGGGAGCAGATGCACTGTATGTGCCACTAACAACAATCTTCAATAAACCTATCGAAAGAGGGCAACTGCCTGAAGTGTGGAAGACAGCAAATGTAGTCCCGATTTTAAAGAAAGGAGATAAACAGGTTGCACTATATTACAGACCAGCGTCTCTGACATGTATGCAAAGTTATGGAGAATATTATCTGGAGAAGAGTGGTGGAGCACCTAGAAAGGAATGGGCTCATATAACCAGCACGGGTTCAGGGAAAGGAAATCTTGCGTCAAACACCTATTTAAGTTCTACAAAGTAAGACAGGAGAGAGAAGGATGGGTAGACTGCATTTTCCAGGACTGTAAGAATGATTTCGACACAGTACTACACAAGAGACTGGTTGAAAAAATAGAGGAGCAGGCAGGAATAGGAGGAAAAGTACTGCAATGGATCAGGGAATACCTGACAGGAAGGAAACAACGTGTGTTGGTACGAGATGAGGTGTCAGAGTGTGTGCATGTGTCGAGTGGGGCTCCACAAGGGTCAGCCCTAGGAAAAGGATCTTGGGGTGACCATCATACCAAATACATCTCCTGAGATGCACATCAACCAAATAACTGCTGAAGCATATGGGTGCCTGCCAAACCTTAGAATAGCTTTTCACGACACTGTACACCATTTATGTCAAGACCATATTGGAGTATGAAGCACCAGTATAGAACTCACACCTGGTCAAACACTTCAAGAAATTAGAGAGAGTGTAATGGTTTGCAACAAGACTAGTCCCGGAGCTATGGAGCATGTCCTACAAGAATAGGTTGAGGGAGGTCAACCTGACAATATTTTTCGTTAGGTCCAGAACGATTTTTGCGAAATTATTGCATACACATATCCTCGCTTGCCTTATTCAGCAAGAAGAGCATTGCTGTTTAAGGCAAAATCGCAAGTTTTACCTATTCTGCACGGCATATATATATGTATGTATATATACATATATATATATATATAATATATAATATATATATATATATATATATATATATATATATATATATATATATATATATGTATATATACATATATATATATATATATTATATTTATATATATATATATATATATATATATATATATATATGTATATTATATATATATGTTGCATCCCTTGCATGGGACCAAAAGTGTATTTGTTATTGTATGTATAAATATTTATTTCCACTTTATATTATATTGTCTGTATCTTCATTAACAGCTAAAATGAAAATATCTTGCTTTTTAATATTATCTGATCTTACATTATTTAGCAATGTATATAGGTAGAATGTGTTTTATTGAATTAAGTCAGGAATTGCTGTGCTAACTATCGTAAAATCGGTCTCTCTGCAGGTGTCTCATGAACCGAGTTGACGTCTGGCTTAGAGGTTTGGCCTGAGTGAGCAGCAGCCTACCTCTAGCCTTGGAAACATCTCCTTCTCCTCGAAGTTTGATTAGACTCAATTTTTGGATAATAGTCGGTTTCGTTGGTGAGACGGATCCTCTTTCTCCCTACTGTATTTGTTAAGGACAGAGTTAGTTCTGGACTTACAGATTTTGATACCTACTAAGGTGGCGAGTTTTTCTGACGTTATAAAGTCATTCAGTGGATTAACTGTGACCTCTACGTATTACCATAGTCTTGATTTGAAGTGAGCCGAACTTATATTCAGTAAGAAGGGAATATTAGGACTTCTATATTCTGTTGAAGATCTCGGCTGTGTGTTTTGTTCCTGCTTCGTTAAATCGCTTGTTATGATTTGACAAATGTCTCCGTCTCTAGGCTAGCTTCTAGGTGGATTATCATACTCGAAGCCAGTGATTACTCGGGTACGGATTTACTATATAGCCTTGTATGTATATAGAGTATATAGAGTCGATCTATAGCGAGACACTTCGTCTATGTGTATATATGGTTAATTATGACTTGTGACAATGGACATATCACTTCAACTAAATGTTTATAAATTGTATTATAAACTTATGGTCCTTAGTAATATTGCTCCCACTTCCTACATTTTTCTCATCTGCTATCTCATTCCCACATCCTAATTCGTTCTCACTTCTTATTCCGTTCACAATCGACTTCCCTAGCTCTTTCCTACTTCCTGTCTCACCAAGTAGCTCAATTCGCTTAAATTACCGAAACTGTATGGCAAAGAAATACTGACATAAGATATAGGAACAGGAAGCCTATAAAAAATAAAAACTACAAGAAGACAAACAAGAATAGAGAACTGCAGACCAGCGATGTTGAAAGCGACCTTAATCTGGTGACTTTCATCTCTCTCTCGAGTACCCACCTTCCTTACCTGTCCACTACTCTAGTATCAACAGTTATGACTGCCCCGACTCTGCTGAACTGACACAGAGGCGAGAATCCGCCACATCTGTCAGGTAAGTTCTTCTCAAGTAATGCGATGTTATTCATTTACTAGTAATGTAACTTTTAATACACTCACCAAGACTGATGAAAGAAAAACGGCTGAGTAAATCTATTCGAAATCACTAAGAGCTCTTCCTCAGTACCAGATTTGGAAGAAATAAGAAATGCATAAGTACTGGAGGAGGTAAAGATTCTAGGCATTTTTTTTATTTCCATTTTGGCACTGATGTAAACCCCGCAGAGATTCTAAAAAATTTTTTCCCCAATCATTTTCCATTCAGGAAATGTATTGATGTTTTATTTTCATAGATTTTTTAAAAACAGACCAGGAGGAAACCCATATGGAAAAGAACAGATCGAATTATAAGAAAGACTAAGCAATGGGAAATTTAAAAATTTGGGAACTAACTTTTTGAAAACCATTTTAGCAAAGCCAAAACTATGTTACAAATAAATAAAAATTTTAAAAAAACCCAACATGTCAAAAAGCCATGATTAAAAGCCCCTTTTTATAAAGGGTACTTTAAATCCTTTAAGGGGAATTTTTAACTTTTGGTGTACACTACGAGCGATTTTAAGTTCTAGATTAGTATCTTAATTTTACACCCTCTCGGCTTTTAACTCAGACAGATTTTCAAACTGAACCTTACTCTTCCTGAAATTACTCACGGCCCAAATAAAAAGGGATCACTTACTTTTTAAAAACCGGGGCCGACCTATATGAAATATCTCAAGATTTTTTTTGCCCCAAATTGGGAGCAATTATTCCCATTTTTAAAGGGCCCAGAGCTGGGGGCTAGTTTTAGTGGAGGAGGATCGATCCTTGTTTAAAATTTGCCTAGGTTTTAAAGCACTAGTATTAAGCTTTTTAATTTTTTTTATGTTTTTTTATTGTGGTGAATGGTTTTGAAACCGACAATTTGAAGAATTGGACCTTGTGAAACCAGGGAATTTTTTTGAAGAAACGTTTCGCCCACACAGTGGTTTTCATCAGTCCAATACAAAAGAAATGGGTAAGGGGGGAGGGTTCGAGGTAATCAGTCCCTCAACCGGAAATTTTTGATGTGTTCGGGGTCCATCCCCTTTGTAGGAGTGCAGCATGGGCCAAAAGGGGGGGCTTTATGGCAGTCAATGAGTTGAGAGGAGGAGGCGGGATCATCTGACTGCGTTTTAAATTAAAGCCCCCTCGTGGCCTATGCTGCACTTCCACAAGAGTGATGGGTGAAAACATCGATTCCCGGGGTTTAGGCATGATTACCTCGAACTCCTC